AAGGCAAATCGTGTCTAACAAATCTAATAGAGTTTTTTGATGAAGTAATGGAGATGAAGGTAGTGCAGTTGTTATGGATTTTCAAAAGGCATTTGATAAAGTGCCACATAAGAGACTTGTAAGCAAAATAGAAGCCCACGGTATTAAAGTGACAGTGGCAGCATGGAGACAGAACTGGGTGGGAAACAGAAATCAGAGAGTGATGGTGAACGGTTGTTTTTCTGACTGGAGGGAACTGTGCAATGGTGTCTCCCAGGGGTTAGTATTGGGACCATTCCTCTTTTTGATCTGTATAAATGACCTGGACTTGGGTATAAGGAGTACAATTTCCAAGTTTGCAGATGATATTAAGCTAGGAAAAGTAGTAAATGGTGAGGAGGATAGTAGCAGACTGCAAGAGGACATAGACAGACTGATAAAATGGGCAGATGAAGTTTAATGTGGAGAAATGCGGAGTGATGCATTTGAGGAGGAAGAATGCGGAGAGGCAATATAAGCTGATGGCACAATCTTAAAGGGGGTGAAGGAACAGAGAGACCGGGGGGTTCATATAAGTAAATCTTTCAAGGTGAAAGAACAGGTAGATAAAGCTGTTAAAAAAAAAGCATACGGGATACTAGGCTTTATAAATAGGGGCATAGATTACAAAAGTCAGGAAGTTATGATGAACCTTTATTAAAACACTGGTTAGGCCTCAGCTAGAGACTGTGTTCAGTTCTGGGCACCACACTTTAGGAAGGATGTCAAGGCATTGGAGAGGGTGCAAAGGAGATTTATCAGTATGGTACAAGGAATGAGGGACTTCAGTTATGAGGAGAGAAGCTAAGATTATTCTTCTTGGAGCAGGGAAGGTTAAGAGGAGACTTAATAGAAGTTTTCAAAATTATGAAGGGAGTTGATAGGGTGAACAAAAAGAAACTACTTCCACTGGCGGGTGGGTCAGTAACCCGAGGTCACCAATTTGAAATAGTTGTTAAAAGAAACAGAAGGGAGGTGAGGACATTTTTTTTACGCAGCAAGTTGTTCGGATCTGGAATGCATTGCCTGAAAGGGTGGTGAAAGCCAATTCGATAACAACTTTTAAGTGAGAAGTAGATAATTATTTGGGGAGGACACGTTTGGGGAGAGAGCAAGAGGAGTGGGATTGATTTGGATAGCTCTTTTCAAAGAGCCGGCACAGACATGATGGGTCGAAAGGCCTCCTTCTGTGCTGTATAATTCTATGATTCTTTGAAGTGCTTCCAGCTGATCATTGTATTTGAAAGGCACTATACAAATACAAGTTGTTGTGCTGAATTTCCTTTGCAGGCTGCGATTTATAAATAAATTTCAGACACTTAGAAGTCAACAAAAATATCTTAAATACTATGTTTTGGTAATGTTAGTTCGAACTCATTTTATGTAGTGGAGGATGTCAGAATGAAGAATGAAGAAAGAAGTTTAAAAAATAAATTATTATTAAATTTAGTGGGTCATCTTTTGTCATTTTGTCAAATAAGTCCAATTTGAAATGTTGCAATTATTTAGTTCCTGCTAACTTGCTTATGATTGTGAATCTATTTCTATTTTCTAGTGATTTCTCCTTTTAAATCTGGAAATGTAAGAGATCTGACAAGCTAGTGATTTTTGACAACTCAAAATTTATATTAACTTGACAACTGGTTTGCTGGAAAAACAATATTACAGCTTTAATCTTTCTGTGCATTGTTTTAATTGATTTTTTTTCAAAACATCTCTTGTAGTAAAGTGCTGAAAGCCTTCTCCAAAGGAGACCTGGCTGCAATCCTTCATAGACTAAAAACCTGGCCATCTGAATTGAATTAACTATGACATGTACCTTCAGACGTTTGTAATCTGAAACCTCATGTAAATTTAGAACATACCTTGGACTTGAGCCTCTGGCAGTTAGTGCTTTGTTCAGCAGCTCAATTTAAACAAAATGACATCCTTACTAACATCTAGTTGTTAACAGGAGGTTTCTGATGTACAAAAGCATGAAGTGTCTAGATTTGCTGTGGCAAATTAAAAGAAAACAAACATCAGTCAGTTTCCTATCTAGAATGACTTATAAACGAATTTGATCAATTAAACACTTCCGCTAAAAGAAAAAAATAATGTGGTTTGGCTTTAGAAACTGTTGTGCCAGTTGAACAGCAAAAAAGAATCTAAAATGTAATTTTCCAGAACAAATGAACAAAAAAATGAAGTCAAAATGATTTGTTCTGCAATAGAGCTGCAGGAACTAGTTAGCTTGTATTGATATACTGGTAACTTTAGACTGTATTCTCCTCAGTGTCAGGATTTGATGTGAACCAAAAAGCCCCATGAAGGACGTAGGAAGAGAGCTCAAATTTCAAACTCTTAGTCCTAATCAATATATGAGGCAAAGTTTCATCTCTTGGGTCCTTAATGGTGGATATTTCTGGAGCCAGCAAATGAGTAGAGCCAGTCTAAAGATTAGATGATTGAATCATTAGGAGACAATACCCACATGTTATACTGCACTTTTTTAATGCAATGCTGTTACACCCAGTGGTGCAGTGGAAGCTGTATTAATCCAACACCATCTTCTTCATAAAAAACATTTTAACGGCTACAAAGCTCTACGTAAATGGCACGTTTTTCAGCTTCTGAAGGAATTTCCCTTGAAACTTCGACTAAGCCTTAAGATCACAAATTCTTCAAGTGCCCTGCAGGAGATTTTTCATGTCTTTATTCTCAGAGGATTCTTACCAACACACTTCTTTCCCAAAATCCTCTCTGTCCAGCAATCACTCATGCTGGGGGAGAAAGAAAGTTGACCTGCATCTAATGGCTTCCTTACGAGGACAGAGCTGATGAATATTGAAATCCATGTTCAGGACCAGTAACAGCAGGTATGTGAACATGTCTGGTATATTCCCATTTTATTTTGCAAAATTGCTTTGATCTTTCAACATCTGAAAGACTTGTGAAGCCAGAAATCTGTGATGGCTAAACCATTTGGTAAGGAATCAATTTGATCATTTAAAAAAGAGAGATTTGTATTTCTTATATCAAATAGAAAGTTAAAATGAACTTGACATACAAAGTTGTACATCAAAATATTGCCCTCTCTGTTTGATACATTAACCATGATTTATGTAGACTCCAGAGATTCTTTGGACTGCTGATTGTAGTGTAAAGAGATTATAAAAGGTGGTTACTAGATGGATATTTAGTTAACAAATGTACATTTTACAAACTGGTGCGGGGTGACAGCAAGCTCAGACAGACTAAAAATGCTTAGGAAGGTCCCAGGCTTTTCAAGGATAATGGCTTCCATTCTATTTAATGATGAAACATAAGCGGTTTACAGATGTAAATGATTTATATACGGTAAAAATTAACTCAAACGAAGCAGCGGTATATTTCAAAACCGTGATTTAAAAGTGCTCTCAGAAATGTTGTGTCACTGTTATTTCTCAAGTCCAGATCTAGATCTGTTTGTAAGCATGTATAATATTGTATTTAATATACTTAATAGATTATTGTGCTTTCATAATATTTCATAGTTCTGTAAAGTATAATTTAAAATAAATACACATTATTAGATACTTGTTTTGCCAAAATAATCAAATTAATCACTTGCGACACATTTTGAAAAGCTTTCTGCTAGGATAATATAATTTGTTTACGCAATGGCTGTAATTTTTTGGATCTTATCCAAGACAGGCACATTAATGTCCACTTGACAAAATTATAATGTTCCTGACATTCAACACCCAATTATCCACATCTCAACTTTCCAAAGTAAAAATCAAAGCAAAAATGTTAAAGATTCCAGCTGACAATATCAACCTATTTCAATGTAAAATTTAATATCACTGCAAATTCATTTTCCAACATTGCCTTTTCACAATGTCAAAATACATTAACCAAAAAAGATAGACCCTTGTAATTATTTGGATATCATAAAGCATAAACTTTCCACATAAAATTGTATACAGAACAAGGTCATCTTTGTTGCAAACACAGCATTGCAGTAGCTTTTCTTGGCAATCTGAACAGCGTAAATAATATGGTTTCCCCCATTTTACACAATACAATTCTGGACCAGACCCAATGAAACTGAGTTTCTGGATTTTCAACCATTGTTTAGTAGAAAGAAAGCATTGATGTGCATATATATTTGCAATTTCCCAAACAAATTCCTTATCCTTATTGTTTGCATTCACACAGTATAGGGCTTTTGTCACATATTATTGGGTTTAAATATGATTATAATACAGGGAAATTTGATGTAGCCAAAAATAATAAGAATTTAGAAAATCATGAAAAGGAGGAGGCCATTCAACACATTGAACATGTTCCACCATTTTATTAGATCATGGCAAATCTTTTCATCCCAATGTTTACAACAACAAAATCACACTTATATAGTACCTTTCACATCGGAAGGACGTCCCAAGGAGTTGGACACCTGAGCTGGGAGTTGGAATTAAGAGGGTTGGAAGGTAGGGTGGTGAGCGGGTGGCCAAAGGTACGGTCAAAGAGGAAAGTCTTGTGACTGGCCTTGAAGGAGGCAAGGAAGGGGATGAGGCGGAGGGATTCTGGAATGGAGTTCCAGAGGGTGGGGGCAGAAAAGCTGACCACTAATTTCTGTGCTTACTGTCACCCTACCACTGACACTGGCTCCATACCCACTCTAAGGGACAGAGAAAGGTTGATGTCCATTAGAAGGGGGGCAGAGAGATGAAACTGGAGTAAGGAGAAGGGTAGCGATGTGGTCCATGGAGCAGTTGGCGAGCATCATTTGGGAAATGATGGAGGTGAGAGAAGAGGCTTCCTGACCTCAGTACTAACTGCCTGAGTCCTCATTTTAAGGCTCTTTCCCCTCATAATGGAATCATTTAGCTAAGTGTCAAGCCAAAAGTTAAATATGCTTCATAATAGCGGCAAAAACTATTCTCTAAGGCATTTCAGATATGTTTAATTTTGAGCATGAGCTAAAACTGTACCGGTTTGGAAATATGTCTTACCTGTGAACATAGCAGCATAACCAGTTCCACCACAGAGGTGCTGGACTTCATACACACAAGACCTGTAAAGAATTGGAAACAAATATGTTTAAAGCAATAGCAGTAACTTGAAACAAAATATACCACTTACTAAATACAACTGAAGAATTAAATGTTGCAAAGACTTGAAACAAGAATAACTTAATTTGCTTTTTCAGATTAGGAGAATATAATTTTTGTCCTTCTCAAATCCTCTCTGCCAGTTAGTCAACTTTGTGAAGTGCTTTGTCACACCTCACAAAACACTTATATCAATGTAAATTGTATTGTATTGCTCAGCAACCCAGCACTCCTGATGCTCTACATCTTATTTCACCAATCTGAAAGGCGATAGCAACATTTACGTTTTATGGTGTCCATTCCTTCTATAATGCAATATAAAATGAAACATTGTAAATATGAGATCTCTGTTTTTGTGTTACTCTGATAATGTATTTAGTTTCGAGACAATGTCTCCTTTCTATTTTACTCGTGAAATTTATTGCACTTGATGTATACTGGGAAATAAAAGATTATTCACATAGTATCAGAATATCAGGAATGTAATTTGGTGTTCATTTGTAATGATTCTTCTAAAATAGTCTTAACTCCAAAATCATCGGTTATCTAGAATGGGTTATAATATAGTAATAATGCTTGCATTTTTGGTATAGTGCCTTATCATGTCGTAGAGACACCTCAAAGAACTTCACAGAATATCCTGCAAAGTGAATTAACTGTGTATTTTGTAAGCGAAATGCAGCAGCCATTTGCACACAGCAGTGCCTCACAAATAGCTGTGGATTGAGTGACCAAACTATTATTTAAAACATTTTTATTCATTGTTTTGAAGCAGAAAAGCAATCCGCGAATCGACTAACAGCCTGGTTCCTACTTACTGCTAGATAAACAGAGGAGTGTGGAGTAAGGAAACTTGCCTAATCTTTAGCCCTGCCTGGAATCAAACCCAGGTCCGCTTGCTTGCGAGGCTAGTGCTTTAACCACTAAGCTACAGGACTCTACAGTTGAGTCTATATATCTCAAGAGGGAGAAATGCCTGTGAAATTGTTCCTTTCAAAGAATTTTGCTTTTTAAAGTATTTGTGCTCTGTTTACACTTCAGCGGTACCCCAGCGCACACTCTGGGGTCTCCAAGCCTTGGCTGTTACCAAACCTGTGCCTGATACTCTCCATTTATAGGTAAGTAAGGTGTGTCTCTCTAAGAAAAGAAATCACCTTCCATTCCAGACGTGGAAGTCTTAGTCTGATTTGGATACTCTGAAGCAGAGTGATGACATTCCAAAGGTGTCGGTACCCGACCGACCAAAATTAAGAATAAAGAAATCTTACACGATCCTGGTGTCTACCTACATATCAGATTACATATTCCTTCCACTTAGAACAGTGAGCTTGATGCATCAAAGTATTTCCAGGAAGCTACTATGATTTTTACCATTACCTCTTGGCCTGTAAGTACTCTCCTTCACTAAGTCAGCTTATCAAAGAGAAGTCTGTTGAATCAGTTATTTTCTCGCTGAGAGCAGATTCAGTCTGTGGAAAACTATGATTGATTTGAAAATGTTCAAGGAGAGGAAGATATACCACCAAGGCTTGAGGCCAGTAGAAGAGCTATTAACAACAACAACAACGATAACAAATTACATTTGTAAAGCACCTTTCACGTCGGGAGGACATTGCAGGCGGTTGGGACCAAGGGGGAGGGTGGAGGGCAGGGAGGGTGAGGCGGAATGTGTGGTTGAAGAGGTGGGTCTTGAGACGTGCTTGGAAGGAGGCAAGCTGGGTAGGAAGGAGCAATGCTGTGGAGGGCCTTGAAGGTGAGGGTGAGGATTTTGAACTCTATCTTCTGGGGGATGGGGAGCCAGTGGACCCATGCAAGGGTGAGGGTGATACGGTCACAGAGCCTGGTACAGGAATGGATACGAGCTGCAGAGATCTGGATGATCTGCAGCTTGTGGAGGGAAGAGTTGGGAAGACCAACAAGCAGAATCGAGTAATAAAAATAACAACAACAACTTGCACTTATATAGCACCCTCCACGCAGGGTAGTGTCTCAGAGAGTAATAAATGCGTGAATGAGGGTTTCAACGGCCTGAGGGGTGAGGCAGTGGCAGAGCCGGGTGATGTTATGGAGGTTGGGGAAGGAAGAGTGGGTTGCGGCACGGATGTGGGGTAAAAAGGACAGTTGAAGGTCAAACAAGAGGCCAAGGTTCTGGACTGGCTCAGTGAGGTGGAGTGTCCATCCATGGATGATGCTGCCACTTTTAACTTTATTTCTGAATGAAAGAAAGTGAACATATATCGGAATATACTCTCCCAAGAGAAGAATAGGTTGTTGTGCATGTATTATGACCTTTATAATAATCCTTTCATTTGATATAGCGCTTTTCAAGTCTTCTCGATGTCTCAAAGCGCTTCACAGAATATGCTGTAAAGTGAATTCATTGTATATTTTGTGGGCGAAACACGGCAGCCAATTGTGCACAGCAGTGACCCACAAACAGTCGTGGATTGAAAATGACCAATTTATGATTGTTTTGTTTTGGAGGGATTATTATTAGGCGTGTGGAGTAAGGAAACTTGCCCAAGGTTTCGCCCTGCCGGGAATTGAACCCAGGACTCTCACTTGCAAGGCGAGCGCTCTAACCATTGAGCTACAGGACTCCACTATTTGAGACAAGAAACATCCATCCAACCTCATCAAGCCTGCTCCTTCTAATGTCATACCCAACCCTCATATGATCTTCACCCACCTATTCAACGTTCTAGGAAAAATATTCTTTAGATACACCCTGAATCTCAATCAAGCAAAATCTGCAGCAATTTTCATATTTAAACAACATCTTTATATCTCTTCCTGTCCCCTTCCCCCTCGGTTCCAACAGCAGCGTCATGTTCCATGGAATGTCCCTGCTTCAGTATTATTCTATAGGGATAACAGGAACATGAGTAAGGCATTCAGTCTATCAAGCCTGCTCTGCCATTTTCTTAGATCACGGCTGATCTGTAAGCTATTTGCCTGCTTTTTCTCTGTACCCTCCAATACCCTTACTAGCTAACTAACTACTCCCATGAACACTCCCACCAACTCTGCATCATTAGTCCTTTGCATAAGTCAATTCCACAACTCTATGAGTAAAGAAAGACCTTCTTATTTCACTACCAATAGGTCCAGCTCTGTTTTTTAAGATTATGTCCTCTTGTTCCGAATTCTGCAACCATAGGAAAGTGTCCCTCCTCCCCATGTGTATGTGCTTCAAAACTATGCAAACGCAGATACTTGAATGCTTTTTTTGAAGGAGATAATTGATACAGCATCAGCCATTTCACATATCCATTAGTCAGGGGAAAATAAATCTTCTAATCCCCAGTCATGCTGGAAGCTTCTAAATTTTAAATCCATTTCCTCTGGTTTGGCACTCATTAAGTCTTACAGTCTGCCTGACAAATAGTCCAAAACATGGGGGCATAAATATAAGATAGCAGATTTAAAAGGGATGTAGCAGAAATGTTTTTATGCTGAGTGTGGTGAGAATATGGAACTCACTGCTGGAAACTGTGGTTGAATCAGAAAGCATCAACATATTTAAGAGGAAAATGCATACAAGAGGGAGAAGGGAATAGAGGGAAATGAGAGAGGTGATTAAGAGGGGTGGAGCCTTACGCAGACTATAAACACTAGTTGGGCCGAATTATCTGTTTCCCTGCTCTATTGATTTATGTCAAATTTAAAACTGCAACATTTATGCATCTCATTATTTAAAAAATCTAAACTACATTCACTCCCTCAATTCTCCGATAAGAATAAGTACAGCGCTTTGAAACATCTGCAAACTGAAATTGTTTTCTCTTAACTCACTGTCACTTCAAAAATGTTCAGATTATAAAATGCCAAAGACTTCCCAAATTTGGGAGAGGGTTATCGTCACCATTATCAAGGGGATGATCCAGCAAATGTTCAATAATTCAGCAATTCTTGAGAACACATAATAAACCAATATTCTACTCCACACACCTATTTGATATGATACGCGTTACTCAACAATCCAGTGGTATAATCCAAACCAACTCTTGTGCCAATATTGTAATATTAATCCATAGATTTGGTATAGAGCCTTTTATGTCAGGAAGATGTCTCAAAGCATTTCATATGATACACTGTAAAGTGGAGACTGTATTTTGTGGGCGAAATATACTCTCAAATAATATTAGAACTCTTAAATAATACCGAGCCCTATCTAACAAACCGTCTTCCTCCCTTGCATCCTTCAAGGCCGGTCTCAAGACCCTTCTCTTCGACCGTGCCTTTGGTCTCCCTCCCACCTCTCTGCCTTCCCTCATCCCTACATCACCCCTCCCCCACGCTCGGGCCCCGACACCTGACTGTTCAGCGCTTTGGGACATCCTCCTGACGTGAAAGGCGCTCTATAAATATAATTTTGTTGTTGTTGTTGTTTTCACTTTGTCTCTTTAAATGGTTTCCCTCCAGCCCCCACCCGGTCACCTGTGACATACCCAGGGCTCCATCCTTGGCCCCCTCCTCTTCATCATCTACATGCTCGGTTGTCACGCTTTCAGCCACCACCCCCGAAACTCTGGTGCACTCTTCCTCTATTCCTCCACCTTGCCCCCTCCTTCCCCATTTTCAGGACCTTCCTCTTTGATCGTGCCTATTGTCAACTCCCCCTGCCCCCCAACTGGTGTCGTGCTCCTCCACTGTAAAGTGCTCCAGGACTCTACCCTGTGTGAGGGGTGCTATCTAAAGGCAAGTTGTGGTTGTAGAACATACAAGTTACACAAATGCACATAAACTACAGAATGGTATTGCTTCTTTGCATGAAAAATGTAACCTAGTTCCAGATTATGTGCACAATTGGCTGCGCAATTGTTCTCTTCGACCGTGCCTTCAGCTCCCCTCTTGACTCTCTACTCCCTCCTCGCTCCCTCCCTTCACCCTGACCATTTCCCCCCTACTCGGGTCACGACCCAACTGTCCAGCGCCTTGGGTCGTCCTCCTGACGTGAAAG